TGTACAGGTCATGCTCATATTTTAAAACATTCATTGTATTGAAATATGAAATGGTTCATATAAGAATGATTCAAAAGAAGAGCTTAAGGTCTGATGTCAAATGCTTAAAAGTGAAAAACTAATTAAAATTAAACAGATGTATGCTTTAAGCAAATAAATAAATTTATAAGTTTTGACAAGATATAATTAACAAATTATAAAACAATTTTTTGAAAGAAAGCAATATTTTTACTTTTATGATTGATTATATTTGTACAAAAGAAAGAAATTAGTTGAATCGAGTAACAATTTACATTTACTTCTGAAATACTTATGAAACTTCTAGAAAAAAAAAGCTGAACAATATTTTTCTGTAGGAATTCAGTTATTTTGCATAGAAGAAATCTGAATGATAGGAATTGTCTGATGATGTTACAATCATTCACCAAACAGAATATATATGTCATGGTTGATGATTAATTCTCTACTTTTCTCATCACGTTTTCAGAAGTGTATTGCTTTTAAGTCTCAAGTAGCAACCTATAACAATGAAATTTTTAAGAATTTCTTTTAAATCTCATGCAATCATGTCGAACAATAGTCAAAATATATCGATAAATTTTCAAAATCTATCAAAAGTTATATTTACTGTCTACTATCCCTTGATTCTAATCATTGTTGGTACTCTATTTAATATTATTCTTTGTCAATCAATATTTAAAAATACAAGTGCAAAACCAACCATTCATTATATACATACAAAGCTATATTTGATATAATCATGTTATAATTATGAATGGAATTTTAATCATTATTATCTCAATGAAATACATGGATTTACTCTGCAACTTTATTCAATATTATTTTATAAATTGTTTTCATTTCTCAATTACTTTACTTCATAAGTATCAGCTTGGTTACGTGTATTTGTTTAACTTGATCGTTATTTTTTATTGAATTGTATACATTAAACATGGTTTCATCAGTCGAAAAATATTCTCATTATTATTCTATGTAACATTATAGTTTTCACTATGATCAATCTACATTTTTTCTTTTTGACTGCTTCCACAACATCGATGCAAGTGTCAATTCTAATGCTCCATTCTATGAAGGATATCCTTTATGGGATTATGTAAATTTAGGCACATATCTTGTTTACCATTTATACTCATGGTTACGTTTAATAGTGGGATTATTCATCATCTCATTCGTCCTTGCCAAATCTTTATACTTCAATATCGACGTATTCAACAACATCCTATAATAATGAAGCCTATTATAACAACTTTCTCTTTTTTCACTTATAATAGTACCAGCTACTGTTTGCTATGAGTTTTTTTTCTACGATTACAAGCTATATTATATTACATTTATTCGATTCTATTCTTTAAACATATCATATATATTGTCATTTTCATTCTATTTAATTACATTTGTTAAATTTCGAAGCATATTATTTCGTTTGATAATACCTAAAAGGCTATATCGAATCCGAGCGAAAATTTCTCCTGTAATATAAACAAGATTCAACAGAAATATTTATTTATACGTTTATCTAATCTGCTTGTTATTGTTTATGGAATGTATATTAAAGACAGAAAAAAAAACAACAATTGATTATACAATTCAATTTAGATATGTAAACATCAAAAACAGAGAAAGATATTTTATATCTGCAAATGAATACAACGGTAAACAAATGAGAAAAGTTATTGCACGTAAACATATATAATATATCTATATTAAACATTGCCTTCTACGGTCATAATTAAAGGATTAACATATTCAAAACCTTCAAATTCTGATTGTTGAATACAAGCTAAAACTTGTTCATCTTCAAATGTTAAATTAACATTTTCATTTGTAAATTGTGGATCAAAATGTGATAGATCTCTATCTTCTGTTAATATTGGTTTATATGGTGGAATAATTTGTTTTAATTCTAAACGTTGCCAATCAATAGCTGGATGAAAAAATGGATGTAAACATATATCTTGAAAACCAGCTCTACAACCTAATATTGGATCATAACGACAACCTAAACGATGAGATGGATCTTTATTAAGAAAATCATCAAGAACATTTTTTGCTTTAACAGTTAATGAACGTGGAATACGTATTGGTTGTTCAAGAATAACTTGAAATAAACGATCTTCAGTATTTAAATCAGGATTTTCAGCTGAACCAACTATTTCAAATGGTGAACGTCCAGCCATCATTTCAAACATAAGTACACCTAGAAAAAATAAACAAACAAATCAATCAATTAAAAATATATAATTAATAAATTAAATCGTTTTCTTACCTAATGCCCACCAATCCACACTAAAATTATAATCGTCATTACGTAACATTTCTGGTGCTAAATAATTTGGTGTACCACAAAATGTACTTGTTCGTTCATCACGTTTAAAATTTAAACCTTCTTTACACATTCCATAATCAGTTAATTTAATATGACCATCAGCATCAAGTAAAACATTATCTAATTTTAAATCACGATAAATAACACCATGTTCATGTAAAAAATGTAAAGCAATTGTTATTTCTGCTGCATAAAATCTAAATTTAAAAAAAAAAAACAATTGTTTTCTTTAAATTTAAATTCTTATTTTTAACCTAGCACTTGATTCAGGAAGTTTTCTTTGTCGTTGCATATGATACATTAAATCACCACCATTAACAAATTCAATAACAAAAAAAAGTCTTGATGATGTTTGAAAACATGAATGTAAACCAACTAAAAATGGATGATTTGTTGCTTTTTCAAAAACATTTTTTTCACATTGAATCCAATCAATATCTTCATCATCATTAACAATTGATTTTTTTATTACTTTCATTGCATAAAGACGTCCTGTTTGATTATTATTCTGATTATTATGTAAATATCGAGGATGATATTCGGCTAAGAATACTTTTGCATATGAACCACGTCCAATAACTTTAAGTAATTCGAAATCTTGTAAACTTATGATTGGAGAAGTACATGAAGAGTTTTGTATATTATCATCTGAATCTATCAAATTACTATTAGAACCAGTTGGATCTTCAATAGGATTATGATCAAGATCTGCAAGACCTAAACAAATATATTCAATAAATTATAATTGAAATCTGATAATAGCATTTTCAAATAGCAAGTGATTAGAATTTAGCAAAGAAAGATCATAGAGTATGCATGTGCCAACATCTAAAGTTTTCGCTTTAGGTTTTGGTCTTTCATTTTGATTTAGAATAATGATTATTATAATAAAGTTATCTAATTTCATTAGCAAGCTTCGTAATAATAGCCCTAGAGGAGACAAATTACCATGATCCCATAAGTAACTTAGAACTGAAGCGAACCTTTTTTAAAGCTATTCAATTAGCATACATCTTACTTAGTTTGAATTAATGATAATTCTTTATAGAAGCAAGCGATAAGTACCACTGAATTCATTAATATTAATAGTGAAGCGATCCATGAACCTTTAATACTTAATTTACTAAAAAGTTATGAAACAAAATAACTACAGAAAGTTTAATAGTATTATACTTTGATTTTTCAATCAGAAGAAAAAGTTATTATAAGAAAATAACGGTGTCCAATAATAGTTGACAAGTAACATTTAAGATCGAGAAACCTGAATCTTTAAGCAGTGTTTCAACATTTTTCTCCTCTATATTTTGTTAGAAGAAGCCTTTTTCATGAAAACAGAAGTTTGATGTCGAGTAAGGCATTCTTCTAAAAAAATACCATTAAAATCCGATATCTCGACAGCGATAAACTAATAGCAGGAACTTTTTTCAGGGTATTCATAGGTTATTGGGACTTAGCTGATGTACATAGTTTCGATTTGAAAGCAACTTACCAATTAAGAACATTTTCTCGTAAGTTACTATTTTTACTTATAACGTAATGTTAATTATTCTTTCTCAGTGTTGTTATACAAATATTGTATATCAATATAACAATAGACGCTTCAGTGATGTTTTAATATGCAATCAAAACTTATTTAGGAGAAGAGACTCGAGTCTTCTTACCTTGCGCTCTTTTCGACGAACCAGGTTCAGAAATATTTGACATTTTTTGTTTTGACATAGCATCTCGAGAATTAATAACACTAACACCATATGGCCCATGTCGATCAATTTGTCCATTGACTCCATTGTGTTGTCCATTCAATTTAATATTATTCGATGTTGATTGTTCATTTGAATCGATAAATTTTGAATGTTGTGGTGATGTTGTACCGCAAACAATTCGTAATTGTTTTACACATCGTTTATGAACAAGAACCTTGTTTAAAAACAAAAAGAAAAAATGATTTTTGTCGAATTTGGAATTTTGTTTTTTTTTAGCTTTTTAACCTACTCGACAATCAAGACATTTATAACCTTGTCTACCTAACCCCCATAAACGATCATTACAAACAGTACATGCAGCTGTTGTACTAAATCGTTTAGCTTGGTAACGATGTCCATTTATTAAATAAAGTTTTCTCCAACGTCGTGCACCACGTCTATATATAAGTGGATCTTCACCTGGACATAAAAGTCCAGGTTGTTCAGGTCGATTTGGAAAAACGTGTAAATGCAATTCTTTATTAGAATTTTTTTTATATAAACGTATAGCTGTATTTAATTCTCTTTGTGATGACATTGTTATAGCATCTAAAGATTCATCAAGCCATTTAATAGTAAATGTTGGTGGATTTGTTAATGTTAAATGACATATAGAACATAAATGATTATACAATGATTCTAATGTTAAACTAAATGGTAAATATATGACAGTTGCTTCTTGTTGATAATGTATTAAAAATTTAACTGTTGTTAAATCATGGTTATTATTTTCTTCATTTGCCATTGAACTAACAAACGTTGTCATTACATTTAATTATTGGAATGTGTATCTAGAAATAGAGTAAATATTCTATTTAATTTTTCTTCTAAGATCATTTCAAAATAGAATGTATCTGTACAATAAATACATATTAATACGAGAATTAAGGATAAAATACACATATAGAGAATTATTCATGAACAATACGTGAATTGAAATTAGGGTGAAGAGGTTTAATGGTTGATGATTTACGTGATAAACCAACACGAAACACATGCTGTGATGGAATATTTATCTTACTAGTAGGAAAACCTAATGGAGCCGATGAACGTTTCTTTGAAAGATCTGACGTTCGAGCTGAAAATAAAATAAAAAGTGAAATAAAGAAGAATTAAAATATTTATTTACTTGAAAGATTTTGATAATCAGTTGCTGATTTATTAAGATCCATTGATGATATGATTGCCATTTCTAAAAGAGATAGAGAATTAAATTCATCATCTAAGATTTAGTCTCAGCATGAGAGAACTCTGAATCCACAATTTTGTTGACTCGAAGCAGAATCCGATGGATTCGGATTTAAATACGATCAACTCTATGTTTAGGTCTTTTATTCACCAAATTATAACATCTTCTTTATACATGGCTAAGTCAATGATTCAAAGTTTTCAACTATTTATTAGCTATTTTGAAGAGAAAAAAGTTGATGTAAAATTATTTCTTATTGTTCACTTTATCATCATTCTATTATTAATGTATAAAAATATTTTCATGTTGTTAAACAGAATGCTAAATTATTCAACACAGCGAAAATCAGCTATTAGTTGATAAATACGATGCATTATTACTAATTGTCACATAAAAATCTTCATTAGTACAATATTACCAGTCTTCTTGATTATTTCTTCTGTTTTGGAAATTGATATTTTATTAGACGTTTCATCTTCTTCGTCAAGTTCTTCTTCATTCTCATTCTTGGATTCATTTTCATAGACATCATCTTCTATATAATTACATTTATAAATATGTAATATAATAATAATAATAATAATTTACCTTCTTCATGTTTCATACGTTTACTTTTAGGTGATAAATTTTCATCTTGATCATCAACATCAGTTAGATTTTCCGATGATGTTTTAGTATCTAAAAACATTTTATTAATAACCTACGGCACGGAAATCTTATCAGAAAATATTCGCTCATTTTTCAACCTTTAAAATTTTAGATTGTTTCAAAATAAGGATTGTACAGAATACTATTTTTTTTTCAATTGAAACCTATTAAATTCAACATTCGAAAGTTTTTAATAGCTCACTGTTGAATGATAAGTATTAATGCTTTTGTATTTTAAAAGAAAGTTTTTTTAAACAATAATTGCCGATTTCCATAGAAACTAGCTCTTTACTGGGAAGAGATTTCGCTTATTTTAACATATTATTTTGCATAGAATTCAATGTTTTACAAGAATGTTGAGTGGAAGTAACTACATAAGCTAAGAACTACGCCAAAAGATCGCTATTCTGTTGTGCACAAACACAGTTTTGAACTTTTTCACAAAAAAACTTCCTAATAGTTGTTCAATCTTACTCCAGAAAGCAAACCTGAACATATATTCGGAAAAAGTGAAAAAATTCTGAGTTCCATGAACTCTCACTAGTTATTCTTTAGTGGTTGAAACATGAGTGAATATTTTGTGCTAAAACTTTGGTACTAAAGTTTATCTTTTATTAACGTATTCCTACCATTACTGGATATTGTTGATTGACTATTTGTATTTTCTTTATCATCTATAATGATTAGATTTTTTTCAGGAGATTCTTTTGGCTGTTGAGGTATCATTTTGACTTGTTCTTGCTCAGATTTCGGTAATCTAGAAAATCTTCAAGTAATGATTGAATAGAAAAGAGAAACATAAACTAACTTTTCCTCGTGTTTTCGTGGTTGTTGTTTAGTCATAGATTTCGATTCTGTCGAAATATGATTTGATTTAATATTACGATTTTTTTTACTATTATCACTAACGATAATAAAGTCTAAATAAAAGTTAATTATATATATAAACATAGATAAAAAGAAAAACAAAAGATTTACCATCATCATCATCTTGTTCGTTATAGGACACAACCTTTGTTGTACTAAATTCAACCAAATAGATTAAAAATACAAGCCCAATAAAAATTAATCAACTCACCGTTTGCCAACAGGCATAATTACTATTAATTATCTAAAAAAAATAAATCAATTAAATCAAAAAAAAAGATGTTTATAAGCCAAATTCTGGTAAATATTGCACAACTCCTTCTTCATCATTTAGCGGAAATGTTTCAGGTTTTAATTCAAGTGCCATAAAACAATCATTATTATCAAGATGAAATGGCGCTCGAATTTTATACTTTTTAGCTGGTACAAAACCAAAACGTGGATAAAAATGTTCATGACCAAGAACAATGATCGATGAAAAACCTTGTAATTTCAGTTCATTTAATCCATATTGAATTAATTTACTACCAATTCCTTGTCTTTGATATTCACTCAAAACTGAAATCGGCGCAAGTGCAAGACTCGAAATCGATTTCGTAGACAATGAATAATTGATTTTAATAGGTGTAAATAAAAGATGTCCAACAATTTTATTATCAACTAATGCAACAAACGAAAGATTTGAATTAAATTGACAATTTTTACGAAGTTTTTCAACAAGTTGAGCTTCATCATCACGTTGAAAACTATTCTGATGTATTCGAAATACATCGTCTCTATCAGAATCTTGTTCTCGACGAATTTCTAACATTATTTTATCTAAAATAAATTATATTCAAGGAGATATAATCATACTTTCATTAATTAAAAAAAAAATAACGAAACAAAGCATTCGCCAAGGAAAAAAAGAATAAGGTTATACATTAATACATGAAACAATCTTTCGCTTGTTTTTTTTATTAAAATACTGAAGAATGAAATAAATAGATAAATAGAAATATTCGTTGTCATTTGTTAATATCCACCAGTACGCATATTTTGATTGGAATATAAATAACTTGTTGATTGGGACATTTTCATTAATTCATTAAATTTTTCAGCTCTTATTTTCAGTTCATGGGCGCGTTTTCGATCTTCAATAAAACGACGTTCGAAGTCTGTGACTTCTTCTTCTGTTTTTTCACCATAAAAAAAATCTTCAGCAGTTTGCTAAAATTACATAGAAAAAATATATATATATATTGGTTCTCAGTATCATCATGTCGAATATTATTCATAATAGATGAATAATATGAGTTTGTATCAGATTTCAAAATTAGCTAATCGGTACGAATTTTATTGCTTTCTTCAAGAAAAATGTATCCATTTTGCAATTGATAAGAACCATGAAGATTTATTAAACTAGTGCCTGTTTCAAAAAGAAACATGAGCGGATATTTTCGGACTAATTTTCGATAGAACGCTGCGGTTTTCACCATTGGAAAGAGAAGATGAAGTCGCATAGAACCATATATTATAGGTTCTCCCCTAAAATGGTTGCTGAAGAGTTTTTTAATCAGATCTATTTAAAATATGTGTCAGATAAATGATCGCTTGTGACAGAAGAAAAAAGCATTTCTTCAATTCAATGCCACTCCTAATTTGCATATCAGGTTGAGTGAAGTGTCAATTTCACGAAGCAATTAGTATGAGTATTATTCAAATAGAAGTGTTAACTATTGACTAATACTAACAATGCAAAGTGCCAATAATGATTAATTTAACAGTGTGAGGTTTCTGTTAATGAATAATAATGTTCGTAAGTTAAGAGTACTGTAACATACATCTTGCTGTTACAATTGAACGAAGTAATTGGATTTTTCTCCCATGTTATTTTTATAAGTATTAGAATTATCTGATCTTATTAAACTTATGTCGACTTGAAATCAATGCTAGTTCGAGCTATGGAAACTAGTCCGTTTTCCAAATTTGATTTCTACTGCTTATTTTAATGATAAGATTGTATCTCTGTAAATCAATTCGCTTGTTTGATTATCGAAAAAATGAGATAAGGAATACTCTTTAATACGTCAAATGTGAAATCGTAGTTGAGATCTTTCAGAATGAATGAAAGATTAAAAAATTCAACTTTTACATACTTCTGTTTCTCGTTCAAGATCCGATGCAGCTGTTTGTAACAGTACATAAATTACATCTGGACTTGTTTCACCAGTTTGATCATCTATCATTAAAAATATAATTTTAGATTCCAAAAAAGAAAAAGCTTTATATATATATTACCATATTCTCCTCGAATACTGTCATATTTATCTTTCATTTTACGAATTTCATTATGTAATTGAGCGAGTTTTTGTTTTTCGTTAGTAAGTGTTGGTTGTTTTTCAAGATTACATAAAGCTAAACGCCTTATATTTTCTTTTAAACTTTCTTTAATTGTTTCGATTTGTTGAATCTAAAAGAAAATAAATTGATATTTTCAATGTATGATTTATTGTTACATACTTCAGATAGACCTCGTACAAAGTTTGTTACTTCTTCATCACTATTCATAAGTTTTTTTAATTCTTCAAGACTCATTTGATTAATGCGTGTGCGTGCTTCATTTATTCCACCGTCATTATTGTTATAATAACCGTTCATCATTTTATCTTAAAAGAAGTCGTGAATAAGGGAGTAATTCGTTTTTTTACCTTTTCTTTCTTTCTCTTTTTTCGCATTATAGGTCATGAGTCAGTGGAGTTTGTTCTCTAACCAATAAGAATAAAGAGGTCAGTGGTAGATAATAGAAAAAAACGAAGAATTTTATTTTTTCATATGGAAAAAACTATTAAATGCGGCTATATTTTTATTTTATAATTCTTTTTTCACATGAAACGTTTATTGTTTCGTTTCCATGACTTTCTTTTCAGAAATGAATCCCACTCATTGATTTGTTAGAAATCTAGAAGTATATTTGTTGTTTGTCCAATGCCTCGAACAACATCAGAAAATCATAACCATCCTCATCCTGGATCAGCAACAACAAAATCAACAAAAAAAGTAACTATTAAAAATGGCTCAGGAATACCAACAATTGAAGAACGACTTGGTTTGTTGAATAACAATAAATTGTTTTTTTTTTTATTATATAATTGTTTATTTTTTTTCTCTGAAGGATATTTACGCCCATCGCGAGAATTATTAGAATTTTATCGACGAAAAATTGCTCAATATGATAATGAACGAGATGATATTCTTCAAAAATTTGATCGATGCAAAGTTGCTTATGAAGAAAAGGTTTTTTTTTGCTTCTTTTTATTATTTTACCGACGTTTATCAATATAGAAAATCGTATTGATTGTAATTCATGATAGTTTATAATAAATACCTGAATTTGAAAGGAAGTTTTAACGAAATAGAATCGAATTTTCATCATTTAAGAAATTTGATTTTGTTAAATGATACTTTAAAAACCCAAGAACAGATTTAGCAGAGAATGTGACCCTTCCCCGTCTCATGTGAGATATTTTCGACTTTTCTCAGCAGAAAAGCATTTTTAAGAAAAAAAGCTTTTCGACGGAAAATGCTTGAGGGGGAGCTACTTAACCTCATGTTTTTGCAGAATTTTTTTTCCTTCAACACTGTTTTATGGTATGTATCATTCAATGCAGTTTAACGCGATGATTATGAATTTTTGATTTTTCTCGATTAAATATTTTGCAAAGCCAGAAAACCCCCCGGCACAGTTCAGGAATGTTTGTGCTAACAGGAATTAGAGACAGTAGATAGAAGAACATTGTGGTAAAGTTTGGAGGCTGGATATGAGTAAGTTACTCACTTTATGAGATTCGCCACTTGAATGACATTATATGGAAAAATCCTGTTTTTTTCTCAGAAGTTAAATGTCCAACATAAAAAGTATTTTTTACCATCGTATAGAGTTTGTCTTGAAAATTTAGAAAATGTAATTGATTTGTCTGGAGAACAGTTTCATTTTTTCGATGACATGAAGATTTTCGGACTAAGCTTTGGACAACTAGACTTTCAGCTTGTTTGAAGGTTGTAACAAAGTTATTTGTATCATTAGATAGACTATATTCCGAAGTATAATTTCCTATGCATTCTAATCTTACTCAAAGAATCAGTAGTGAAATGAAAATAGAAAATGTTTAATTAAAGTTCTAAAATATGAAAGACTAGATCCTAGAGATTTCTATGATACAAGCATGTAGGCAATCTTGGTTTCTCACACTGCTATTCATTAGTTTTTATCTAAGAGAAATCAAACTCTGATTTTCTTAGCTATTATCATTTGGTATAATGCTAATCTACTTTTATTAACAGAGAATAGGTTCTCGAAATTTAACTATATATTCAGCATATGTCATTTCTTGTGGAACATTTACGAATGAAAAACTTTTATCAGGTAATAAGTCCTTTCTTGAGATGAGTCTTAATTAATCTGGTGGCTTCTATCGAGATCAGACATAGTCTAGAAGAATTTAAGTCCATGAGTCTTTCTTCTTAGGTTATGAACATTCAAGTGCAGCACTCAATAGAATCCCGTAGTTCCCAGCCTTTCTAGTATATCTTATTTTGAAGTATAAATCTAAAAACAAAGTTTGTCTTTTTCTCTTCCACGCAGCAAAACATTTAATATTAGATACTCACTATGAATATAAATTCGTTTGTGTTTTCCCTAATGAAATGCGACTCATCTAAGAAATGTTTTCTTAGTTGACAAGGTTCTTTCACAAATAATAATTTTGTTTTAGCATAAACTGGAATGGGAATTACGTAAACGTGAAAGTGAAATAGTTGAATTACAAAAGGCTATAAGTGATTTACAAATATATTTATTTCAAGAACGTGAACAAGTTTTGCGTCTTTATGCTGAAAATGATCGACTTAAAGTACGTAATTTAATGATAGACGAAAGACTAAAATTTCAATTAACTTCTTATTCAGATTCAAGAATTACAAGATCGTAAAAAAATCAATCGTTTATTAAATCTTTGCGGTGTAACTGAAGAAGAAATAACTTATTTTATTAAAGAACCACCAGGTGTTGGTATTGTTCCACAAAAAATTTCACCTGTTGTTGTTAATGAACAACGTTCATCTTCTTCTCATAAAAGTATACTTCTTTATATATTTTTTAAGAAATCTTTATATATATATATTAATTCATATTTTTTCAATAGAAGATCTAGTCGAACAAAAGTCATCCAATATTTCATCACAAATACGTGATAATGAAACACTCTCCTTACAAATTGAAGCCCTTCAAGCTCAGCTTGAAGAACAAACAAAATTAGCTAAAGAACAAATTGAATCATTACTTGAAGATCGTCGTGTACGTATTGAAGAATATGATGTACAACGAAAACGAGATGAAGAACGTCTTAAACAAGCACAAGAAAAGTATATTTATCATTATTATTTATTATTTCTATGAAACATGATCAACAAGGAATATTGAAACATTTGGGCCTTTCACAGACTGTAACAAACACTAGTTAGAGACCATCCCAGACACCTTAGGAACACTTCTCTCTCCTCACATGATAAACGTTGATATAAAATCACGCACTGTATTTCAATAACATCTCATGCTATATGAACCAGTTTCTTATTGTATTTCTAGATGATTAAGTAAAAATATAGTGAAGAAATATGTTCGAAAATAGATAGAGTAAAACAATCTTCCTGAGATTATCAAGAGCAGCTATATCGTATTTCACATTTTAGTCCTGCATATATTGTTCTAACAGCTTGTTTTCTTTTTTATATATTTAAATATATGCATTTTTTTTAAGAATTGTACAAATGCAAAATCTTCTTCATGAATCAACTAAAGATGTTATTGAATCAAAATTTGATTTACGTAATGCTGAAAAACAATGGTTACATGAAAAAGATCAACTTTTACAAGAACTTGATAAAACAGCAGCACATGAACAAAGAAAAGAAGATGAAATTCTTTTTTTAAATACATCAAATCATATACAAAATACATCATCAGCAGCATCAATTCTTCTACAAGAAAATGCTTATTTTGAAGAAGAAAGAAAAAAATATGAAGATGAAATTCATGCACTTGAACAACAACATATTCAAACACATAAACTTGCAGAAATGTATCGAAATCAAGTTTTAGCATTAGAAGAACAATTATGTAAAATACGCGAAGAAGGCGATGTTACACGAGAAATATATAAAGTTAGTTATTTCTTTTGTATTTATCGTATATAACATTAAAAAGTTTATATAAAATAAGAGGAAGAGATAGTAATAATTATTAGGGGTCCGTATCACTTTGCCGACAGTTACTTTGCCGACGTATTACTTTGCCGACGTATTACTTTGCCGACACCACTTTGCCGAAAAATTGTTTTGCCGACATATACACTTTGTCGACAAAATTCGTTAATAGTAAAAACAATGATTAATCTTTTTTTTTACAAAATTCTTTATTTTCTCAATTTTTAAAATTCTTTTACTGAAAATTACAAATATTTAAAGTGAAAGATTATGGGCAATGCCCCGAAGAAAATCCATAATTGATCTATTACCGCGATTAAATTGTAACTTATGGTGCGATCTATATATCTTTATGTATATATATCACTGTCCATACTCGCATATACGTCCAATCTCGCATTCGCCTAGACAATCTCAGATTCGTCTGAAAATTATACGTCCAATATTTTGTCGGCAAACTCTACATACATGTCGGCAAAAAGCACATGTCGACAAAACAATTTGTCGGCAAAGTGGTGTCGGCAAAGTGTTACGTCGGCAAAGTTATCTTCGGCAAAGTGATTGCCTCCCATTATTAGCATACTCGTTCACTAGGAAAAAAAAATCTCACTCTGAATCGAGCATATTTCAGTTTGCAGAATTCTATAAGTATAGGATATAGACTTTAATTTTATACTTGACTGTAAACTATCCCAGCGGACAGCGTCCGCTAAATAATTACCGTTAGGATAGTATCTTTGATTTGAAATTGTAATGTATTGCCATTTCAAACTGATTAAGATTTCTTTATTCGAATCATCAAAGGTTTCTAGGTATGTTTACAATTTCTTCATACATCTATTACAAACTTTAGAAGTGGAATATTCTTTAACAAGACTATCATAATGATTTTTCAAGGTGTACGAAATAACACCAAGCCACCCTCTCGTCAACCGTCAAAATCCTAATTCTGCAACAAAATGTAGGATTCATCTGAGCTCGTGTATTATATTTGCCACTCAAAAGTCTTTCATTATTAGAAAAGACGCATTTCTGAATGTCAGCATTATAGATTGGACAAGTAAAAACTAAACCATGGATAATACTCAGATACTAGAATTTAAGAGAACTTTTCAATCAAATAAGATGTTCAGCGTAATTGAAAGACATTTGGATAAAGTTTTACAAAAAACGAGAAGATTTGTCTTTTTCTTAGGATTTTTGTGTCTATTTTTTAACAACTCGAGACCTTATCTGAAACTAATGAAATCATTTTCGTTATCTTTGCAAATTAAGTTTAAATGCCATTACACAGCCAACATATTGGGGTTACGATAACTTCTTATCATAGAAAACTATCCGATGATGATTAATTACACAATAAAGAAAGAATATTATTATATAATATCACTTAAAATTTTAAGAAAAAAGTATTTTTTATTCTATTCTATAATTCCAGTGTCTAACTCAAATCTAAATAATAATTTGAATACCAAATGAAATTTTCTATCACATATGTTGTCTATGAAGATTCTGTAGATGAGCCATAGCAGTGAGTTTTCTAGAAAAAAGCAAAACACAGTATTTTCAGGTCTTAAAAGCTTTGTAAAAACAGTTTAAAAAAAGAAGTGCAATTTACCAAAAATTTAACTAATAACGTTTTTTGTTTCTCTATTTGTCGTACCTTTAACTTTTTCATTGAAGCTTGTAGAAAACATGCCGATTTTTTGTTGTCTTCAGAATTTTGCGCTCTTTTACATAGAATTCGCAGATAATTTTTACAAAGTTTTCAGAAGCTTAAAAAATATCATTTATAATTTTTTTTAAATCTCATTTCCATAGCTCATTCATCGAATCTTCATAGACAATGCATCTAATAGACAATATCATTGGTCACTCAAATTACTAGTTAGATTTAAGTTCGATCCTCTGAACTATAGGAAAGGCAATTAAGAATAACTTGTTTTTGTAATTTCGAGCCGTACTGTATTCTATTGGATTAGTTATCTCTCGATCATTTTCACTGGAGACAAAAATCATTTCTTGTTATAAAGTGGTGAAATATCTAGCTAGAACAATGAAGCTGTGATCTGTGTTATAACTTATATGTTAAACATTAAATATATCTTAGTAGTTAAAATCATAAAATTTAAAATAGCGAACTTATTAATTTAATGTTGAATTTTTCTTAAAGGATCGGTCTGAAAAAATTGGACAACGTTTAGCATTATCAAATGAACGTTTTAAAGAATTGGAACGTCGTCGAAATATGGAAATAGAAGGATTTAAAACTGACATTAAAATGTTACGACAAAAATTAAAATATGTTGAAAAACAATTATTTCGCGTAAGTTTATCTAACAGAAAAAAAAAGAAATCACAGTATCCTTTCATCTATTTTCAATTGTTTTTTTTCTTAGGTAACTGTTGGTTTAACAGGTAATTCTGATGAAATTGATGTTCTTCAACATGTTAAAGAAACAGCTTTACGTTCAAAAGAAATGCAAGGCGAATTAAATCACTTAAAATCAAAAATTTACAATTTAGAAAATGATGTTCGTCATTTATAGAAACATTCTTTTTTTGTTCTTTTGGATAATCTTTCTTTATCATAGATTTATTTGTATAATGATAGTGTTTAATGTTTAAAACAGGCACAATTTTCTAAACGTCTTAATAAATCTTCTAAATCTAAAGGTTTTATTTGTTGTGATGAATGAAAATTTTTTATTGAAAAAACCCATTCAATATATCGATGTAATTCATTTTGATTTATATTTGGATCCGTCATATAAATAGCACGACAAAATTGTGACACTGTTATTAATGGATAACCGAGAAGAATCTGTTTAATTTGTTCGACATAAGAACTTTTTTCTTGATTTATTTGTTTAATTAATGTTGAAAGAAATTCACCAAAACGAGTTTCATCATCTTCCATAAATAATAAACTAAATTCTATTAATTCATTGGAATATTGAAGATCATGTTTAGCAGATTGAAATAATTCATCAATTTGTAACGAAGTTTTATTTGAATAAAAAAGTTTTAATGATTCAAAAAATTGTTCATTAGTCATTACAAATTCATTATGTAAAACTAAACATAATATTTTATTCAGAACTGGACAACTACGAACTTTCTCGAATATAAGTAAAATGCAAATCATCCTTAAGAACGAAAATTTCGAGCAATATTATTTCGGAACATGTGTTTAATGTGATTACAGCATAAGTGTCCAATATCAATGGGCGTAATTTTACATAAGATCAAGGACGGAATGAAGTAGCTATTTACTTCATCTTCGAAGAGGAGAAATAGGTACTTGTTATCACTTTAATACAACACATTTCATCTAATAATGACAAAAGTATGTAATGCTGTATTTCTACTGTCAAAGTATTTCATTTTTTTTTTCTGTATTGAAACTAATCCAGCGACAACATCCGATAACATTGCAAAGGTTCATTTTGCAACGCTGTTGGATCATTTTTTCGAGTCACTCCGTATTCTTCTACGAGGTCCATGAAAACATAGCCATTCTTCTAGTGACATAGCAAAATAAACCGCCTTAATGATGTTAGAAGTTGTCAGTGTATGGATTTCAAGAAAAAAGACTGAAATATTATGGAAGGCGGACAAATATCCTTATCCGCTTTCATCTTTTAGAGTGCTTGACATTCGAATACCAACACTTCGAGTATTTTGCTGAGCTCTGATATTATTTTCAATTTTTTGAAAGAAAATTATTAAATGATTGATTAATTAAAAGAAAGAATCAATAAGATTTTTATTGTTCATTATATGTTCTATTTTATATTAGTAAGAGTTCGAATTAATATATGTCCTCTGTTACAATTGAGTCGAAGAAGATCGAAAGTCTTCTTGAAGATTTATCGAAAGACGGAATTTGTGAGCATAATTCAGCAAGCTTTATATATTGGTAAGATTAGATTTGTGTTTGCTTTCTATTTTCATAACTTACTAACACTCCATTTTTCGATAGAAACAAAACAGAAAGTCGAAGTTTTTATTATCGAAAAGGGTGAAATCAGTAGTACCGATTTATTAAAACTATAAATAATTTTTCTGACTTTCGATGAAGTACAACTTTCAAATTTCGTGTTGTTGAGCTCGACTAGTAAGTAAATACTGTTAGATATGAATTTGATATTGGAACTAATTATCTTCTTTAATAGAATATTATGATTAAATTATTTTAATTTCCAAAGTTGGAATTGAGAAATATTTTCATTTATCGACTCATTCAATGTCATCTAGTTTGATGTGGTTTAGTTGGCTTTTTCTAACAATGAAAATTTTCGACTGATCATTTAGGCTGAGTGACTTTGATTATTTATGTTTATATTTCTATCGCACACCAGACTAATATTCTTACTTCTGTTCATTGTTTAATACATTTCAGTATAATAACAATGATTAGTTCTGCTTCTGTCTTGCTCAACCGTCTCCATTATAATCAACGACTCAAGTGATTTTCTCATAGAATACGACGATGAATATAATCTTAACTGACGAGAGAAACTTCCGAGTAAATAAAAAGCTTTCGATATAAAATTCGTTTTCATTAGGTAGAGTCTACTGAGAGTAACTAAATCATATAATCTTTCGTCTACTATTTTTCTTTTTTCTCGGGCTATGACAATTTTGATTGTACTTTCAATCTAGTGCAAAGTATATTATATCATTTTTTTATCAAAAATATTAATAGATCATGTGATTTGGAGTAGACACTAGTTTCTTAGAGAATAGAATAAATTATATATACCTGTTGATTCTTGATGTTCTTTCACAGAAAATAATGATAATGCTGATAATCGACGATTAGCTATTACTGAAAGAGGTGAATTTGGTTCACTAACAATTGCTCTTCGAGCTCTTGTTGATAATGGTTCTTGTTGAGTTGAAAACAATTTTTTCATTTTTATTAAATGTTGTAATAATTGACTTATGGATTTCATTTGATGATGATAAACCATTTCTTCTATTTGTCCAGTTATAATACCCCAAAATAAATTAATCCGTTCCGAATTACGATAACGTTGACATGCATCACTTAGATTATATCCCATTTCAATTGCAATCATATGAGAATTAAATTTTTTATTAAAATAGGCAGCTACATGATTAGCTAATGTTTTATTGTTTTGATTTGCATTATTATCTGATGATGAATGTGGAGAAGACAATGATTCAGGAGAATTGTATTCTTTTGTTCGACTTAAATTTTGCAGGCTACGATCTTCGGTATCTCTAATTTTGTCTGTCCTATATATATATATATATATATAGACATTTTCTAGGTTTAAGCTGAATTTAGTTTTGTGAGACACGATTTAAATAGTATCCTGCAACTTATAAAAGCATAGAAGTAAAAATTGGTTCAATCATGATTGAGCAATTTAGTGTGTTTGAGAACAAGTCACCACAGTAGGAAGCGATATGGCTTCACTAAATAGAATTCGTTTTTAATGAAAATTCATCAATAGATGACGATGATCATATGATTAAGTAACTGAATACTTGAAGAGGACAATGAATCATCAAAAACGTGAACATGTATTCTTATGACGAAAAAAGCATTTATTTATGTATCTGCAATTATGACATTCAGCACTAGCACTGCATTCTATTTAAGTGTCATCAACCACAAGTTACGTATACTTAGCGAAATCGGTAAAATTTTAGAAGCAGAAAGACACCAGGTGAGTCTTGAATCATTTGCTTTTCTGTAAAATTTGAGATGGTCTCTTCTTTTTGTTACGGTTTACGGAAGGAACTAAATAGTATACTTTTTCATATAAAAAGAAAAGTTTGAAAATCATACTATGCCTATGCACGTATCTGTCGAATGTTGATCAGCTTCGGTTGGGTATTAGGTGGTCGGATCCGATAGCGAAAAGTCGTTTCAGACCGTGACAGACCTTGTTGATGTACCAGCAATAATGTCTCGTTATAATATATGAAATACTTGCTTATTGCATTTCTGGAGGATTAAATTAAAGAACGGCGGAGAAAAGTGTTCCAAAATAGATAGAATGAAGCAATCTCTCTGTGATTAGCAACGGCAGCTACATTGTGTTTCACATTTTAATTCAGCAAGGATTTGCCTAACAGTATTTTTAAATTGTTACTCATTTTAAAATTCGTTGGTGTTGTTTCTTCTATTATAAAATGCTTTAATTAAACGTTTTTAGGTATTGAAACGCGCGTTCATACATTTTTAAAATAACGCTGACTATCAACGATTATTTGCTGTTAGTATCTTTTATTTTTTTTTCTCGGCTCTTTCTTGTGATAATAATATCTAGTCAATGATTAGAAGAACTCTTTAATTAATTTTTTTGGTTACTTTCATTTTATTGAAAATCTTCTGTTAAAATAATTTCAAATCTTAAACATTGTCTATTCAATGTGTGATGTAATTAATTTCTATAGATTTATTTTGAAAGAATGATTTTCAATATATTTAATATATTCATTCGGAAAATGTCTATTTTGATTTAAATAAAATTCTTACCAAATTTCTTTAATTAAAAGTCCTGTCGTACGTCGTCTCATTCGTCTATTAAATAGTCGAATATTTTTTGGTATACGTAAAAATGGTAAAACTGATAAATCATCACCAATTGCATCAAAATAATCTTGTTCGTTTATTGGTTCTATTTGATTTCCATTAATAATTTCTTTAATTAATATATCAACTAAGTGTTCACTGGATTTTCCATTAGATAAAATTTTCCATCGTTCTATTCCACCATCAATTACATTTGATACTTTATCCCAATCAGGTCTTGGTGTTAATAAAGATTTATTTGTTTGCCATTCAGTATAATATTTATTTCGTTCATCAATTAAATCATGTGTCTTATTTATTAAATATAAACAAGTTTGTCCTAAATGTTGATATTCATTTTTAAGTAAATTATATTCTTTATTTAATTGATTTTGTTTATTTAATAAATTTTCATAATCAATACGTAAAACAATATTTTCATAAGATAATTCAGTTTTTATTAGTAATTCAATAAAAGAAAATAAAGTTTTTCGTTGACGTATTAATTGAAATTTTAATAAATCGAAATCAGTTAGTGATGTTAAATCATCATCAATTTCACTTAAATAATGATCAGTATATAATGATGGATTATTATTTAAATTTGTCCGCGTTGTCATTGATGTATTTTTCTGAAATTTGAAATAATACCATGACAACAAGCTTTTCTATAGCGAAATAAATAAATTTCTGCTTATGAATGGTTGATCTCATGAATCTTAAAGTTCAAAACTAGCTGTTGTCCTCTTGTTTTGTATTCATGTTAAAAAAAAATATCTTTAGGAAATTATTCAAAATAGTCGAAAAAAAGATATATGCTAACAACAACCATTATTATCTATGATGATAAGCGAATTGATTGAAATAAATGAATATAACAATATTAAAAATGTAGTTTTCAAGTTTTCAAATGTAGTTATTATTTTCTTTTTATCCTAACGTGACTATTCTAGTTATACAAGAAAAATTTCTGTTGAATAAATCAACAGAAAGAAAATATATAATAAGATGATGTACATAAATGTATGTTGCTCTGATTTGTTCTACCAAATAAAAAAATCGGTTCATATGCAGAATAAGCACAGTATCACATCCAATTAGCCTATTCCACATATAAACACAGTGAGGGTGCGAGCGAGAGTGTGCCTATTCTGCACATGTACCGAAAGAAGAATATAACAATCATTTTATATCTAATTATTTTTTATTAAATTTTAGATGAGTAATATTTACATTGAAGAACCAACTACTCGTGGAAAAGTTCTTTTAGATACAACAGTTGGTAATATTGAAATTGTAAGATTATTTCCTAATTAAATATACAAGATTAATATGATTTTGTCTGATTAGGAACTTTTTTCAAATGAATGTCCATTAGCATGTCGAAATTTTCTTCAATTATGTATGGATGGTTATTACGATGGAACGATTTTTTATCGAGTTGTACCAAATTTTATTGCACAAGGTGGTTATTCAACTGGAACAGGTGAAGGAACTGAACCAACAAGCGGTAAATTTTTTCAAGTTAGTATTAATTTGATTTGATTTTCATTTAATTTCTCTTTTAATTTAGGATGAATTTGATATAAGATTATGTTATAATCGTCGTGGTCTTGTTGGAATGGTTAATCAAGGACCAAATACAAATGCTAGTCAATTCTTTTTTACATTGGATAGTACTCCAGAATTTGATAAAAAGAATACATTATTTGGAAAAGTTATTGGTAATACTTTATTTAATATGTTAAAATTAGGTGAAGGAGAAATTATTGATGATATACCAGTACATAAACATAAAATAATTAAAACAGAGGTGAGATAATAGAATAAAAGAAAAAGATTTTAAAAGATTATATTATATATAGATTATTTCAAATCCATTTGATAATATGGTACCACGACCTCGAGCTAAATCACAAATTATTGATGATAATGATGAAGAAAATAAAAAATCAAAACCAACTGTGTCTGATAAAGCGATAAAGTAAAATTTTTTATTAAGAAATAAAAAAAATATATATTTTTTTTGTTTGTTTTAATTAGAAATTATGATCGTCTTTCACTTGGAAATGAAGCTGCAGAAGAAACAAGAAAAATTTCAATGGTATATATACATTTCATTATTTATTATGACTTGTAAATTTAATATTTATAGAAGTTTCAAGTACAACAAAGATCAAATGCAAAACAATTAGGAAAACAAGAAAAAAGAAAATCAATTGTACTTGATGCAGATGATGATGATGATGATCAACAAGATATTTCATCAACAAAATTGTAAATATAAAAAAATAAATAATGATTAATTAATTAATTTTATGTTTTATTATAGAAATGAAAATGTTAAAACTGAACAATTAAAAAAGGTATTAAAACCATCGAAAAAATCATCAATACGTGTTAAAGTATCAGAAGATACTCTTCAAGAAATAAAAGAATGTAAGTTATTGCACTCTTTACAAGGGAAAAACGACTGATTTAAGTAACTTTTAAATAAAAAAAAATAAAAAAGTGAAAAGAGTCATGAAAATCATAGCTAACCCTCTTAGGCAGAAAGTTTCCATGTTGAAACATTTTGTCCTTTAGGGATACAGTATTTTTGAAATAGCCGGCCGGAAGGGCTAAAGTAACAGTAATAAAGAACAAAACAGGAAATTTTTGGTAAGGGAGAAACGACTGACTTAAGTCACTTGAAAGTCATGTTATGTCAAATAAGTCAATTTGGTTACCTTATGGCAGTTAAGTCGAGAAAGTTACGAAAATCATCTGTAGAGAATCATTAATAAAGAATAAAAAGTTGTAATTTTTTTTCAATCTCGATGACGCATTCCACAAATTTTTGTTTAGTTTTTTTTTCAATGGCATAGTCATATAAAACACGAAATGAAAAGATACATAGGTCATTCCAAAAGCTTTTTTGCCAGATTCTTCTAAAAGCGTCAGTTTAAGTTCACGTATTTCGTTAAAATATTTAGACATATTTAGGATTATATGCAAAGCTTCAGACTTCTAAGTCGTGTACGTTGTTGTGGTCGGTCAGTTCTTTCATGGTAGGATACACAACCTGCTAACGGATGACTCTCATGATTGGAAGAATTTTACATTTCATTTCTTGCTTCCTAAATACGTTTTGTTAGAACAACAAAATATACCAAAAGATGCAGTGTGAGAAACTCTACAGTTTTCAAACAACAGTTCATATCATATTTGCAGCTTTTGTTATTAAGAAAAAGCGAAATTCTGAGCAAACAATTTCTATAGTGCGAAAATTCTACATCAACGGAAACTTCCTTTTTTCATATTTCACCGTTTTATCACTCAATATGTTTTTTTTCAAAAAAAAAACAGAATATCACGAAAGATACAGAGTGAAAAACTCTACAATTTGCAAACAACACTTTTATTTTAATTTTATTCTTCTTACTTTAACAGAAACAAGTAAAATTCTCTCAATTACCTATCGCAGTATCAAGAATTGGTCACGTAGAATACTGTTTATTTTGGAAGGAAAACTATGCCATTAACATATACTTCATATTGTAGATTGTAGAACTTTTTACGCCGCATCTTCTAGTATATTTTACCATTTCTTTAATAAAACCCTTTTGAGGATCAAAATATGAAATTCAAAGTTCTGCTTTTTATTATACGTCACCCGTTATGTAGCGTACAGAAAATGTCATCTTATACACGTAAAATAAATTGTAGATTACAGCAAAGTGGAAGACTTAGAAGTCGAAAATTTTGCACATAATCCTAAATATGTCAAAACATAATAACAATACACTTGAATTTAAAATGAGGCTTTTTGATGAGCCGGACGAAAAAACTTTTCGAATGACTCAGGCACACATTTGTTGTTGGCAAAAATGGCATATCATTTTGAGAACTTCAGAACTAACAAAAAAACACAATAGCGCAAGCATGAATGGAGTTAAAGATGATGGTGAGAATGAAGGAGAAGATCTGAGTGATAGAGTATAAGTAATGATAGTGTGTGTAAAGGATTCTCAGCGAAGGTTAGTTTTCCAGTAATATTATGATGTTATGCAATTATTCATTCTGATTTTATCCTCAACTTCATCACTTATTGAGATCCTTCATGTTCATTCAGACTTCGGTCCTCAGCATCACAGCATTCATGATGACAAGAGATAAACGCGATCAAAAAGTAAAGAATTGTTAAGACCAAAACATAAAAACTTACAGGAATCAGACTGGAATCACGCACCGAATAACAAAATTTTTTGTTAAATTTTCCTTGATTTTTAGCAAACTAAGTGGTAAATCACACCATTTTCTTGATAAAATTAATCACATGCAAAGTTTCTAGTTTATAAATTTCGAGATCATAATAGTAAAGTTTTAAGATTGTGATGTATTCTGAGGCATGCTTTGCGTTATGAACAATCTAATTATACGATTAGATAGAACCCATCGAGTTGTACTTGAGATAAGAATAACAACATTGAAACAAGTTTCTGAATGAATTCTACTCGTAAATAGTCGAATTTGGATTCAACTTCACCTAAGTTTTGAACCGATTATGAGAACAACGAGAGAAGAGATTGAAATTATGATTGTCTTCGCTGTTTAGAAAGCTGAATGGTATCAAAATTGAAAGTAACATTCGAATATAGCAAGATATATTGGTTTTAAGATAAATGACTTTGATGACTTTAAAAGTCATCAAAGTCAAAAGTCATTCGTTTTCCCTTTGACTCTTTAATTATATAAATTTTTGACGAATGCTAAAGATTATAATAGTTTATCATAATAAATAATAACTATGTTTCATTATTTTATTTTCATTTAGCTTCATCTCATCTTATTCAACCAATGACTACAGATACTTCTACAGTAATGAATGAATTAGTGGCTGATACAGAAGGAAATAATAACATTCGAATATCATCACTTATACAACCAATGACACCAAAATATAATTTAAAATCTCAGAAAATGACTGATGAGCACATTGATGACTTGAAGGAGCAATTGAATTACGTCAAAATTGATGAAAATACAATGATCAATATAACAGGTATATAATATTAAAATGTACTTCAAAAATAGCAAATCTATTGTTTGTCTGATTTATTATAGATTTAATTAGTTTATTATAAGCACTTATTGAATACAAGAACATCAAGCCAAGACCAGGTGGTTCTGAACGTATTCAACAACAAATCAATCAAATTGAGAAAATTATTGAAGAATACTTGTTGAAATTACCATCATTGACAAGTATTGAAGAATATCAACTGGTGATTTCAAACGTCGAAACTAATCTTAATATACGTGAAAAACAATTTTATTATGTTTTTTTTATATTATTTGATCAAGAAACATTGGCCCTACATAAAAGATCAAACACCATCTCTATGTTATCTTAATGGATTTTTTAGCTTATTACAATTTCTTCTCGACAAGGAAATATTGAAAAAATTTGATGAAACTTTCAATGAAGGTGAGTGAACAGTTTTTTGGTGTGTTATAAAAAATATCATTTTTTTCTTTGTTTTATTTCAGATGATATTTTTTTTTCATATATTATTACAGGTGTTGCATATCTGATTGTTGCAAGTAATCCATGTTGTTCTAATCCAGATGTTAACAACTTTATTCTAATTGTTTCGAATGGATTTCCACCTGTTAATACATCTTGTGAAGCATTTATTAATTTTTTCAAATTATTACAATCAATTTTATCAAGTCGATTTGTTATTGAATTGTATCGTGAATTAATTAATTATGAAGAAAATGTTTCACAAGAAACAATTGAACAATCATTAAAAGACAATATTTCAAATTTACAAAAACATATGTATCTTGCTAATCTTCCAGATAATTATTATGCATTAACTCTATATGATGGAAAATTACTTTTAAATAGTTCTGCACGTGGTTTATTCAATATAATTGACTAGATGATTAAGTAAAATCTATGCTTAGTTTTTAAAATAAGATAGACAAATTCTTTCTTTTAGATGTGATTGGGAATTAGGTTCAGATGACGACAGTATAATTTTAAGTTGGGCAGCACTTTTGATTGTTATTCTTGATGAAATTGCACATAGTAAGTAGAACTGAAGATTCTTCTAATGCTAAAATCGTTAATGTATTCTCTAAATTGATGTATGTATTTTAGGTCTTCAAAGAACAATTATTCCAAAAGCCCGCAATTTAATTTTAGCTCAAACATCACCAAAAAATGTTCTTGATGGTCAAAGAGAAGCTGGCTTTTGTTTTGAAACATTAGTTTTTGGACATAAAGTTGAGTCAATTGGTTTACTTGATGGTAAATATTTATTAAATTCGACCAATTGGAATGTTGGTAATGCTGAAAGTTTTCAAAACAAACTCAAAGAAGCAACAACAAAAGATGAAGAAAAAACGCGCAAGATTTCGGCTCAAGTTACCATGTCGATGTGTTCAAGAACCTTCCATTGGTGCTCGTATTCGAATTGGTGGTTGTGCAACATCACAATATACCGTTCATCTCGATAACTCAAACTATTACAACTAGTCTTTATTTGTATATATTGTAAGATAATTTTTTTTTGAAATTTTAACATTTATTTATTTATTTAGATATGTACATATTTCTGTTATTGTTATTGCATATTCGAAATTTAAAACACGTTTATTAACAGTAAGTGGTTTTTGCATCACAACCAAAAATTATTGATGAAATATTTACTTGTTTAGCCATAATTGGTCGTTCAACAGGTCGTGATAAATTATTATCATTAAAAATTCATTGTGAATTTGTTGAACCATTAATGTCATTTTCAAAAACTGATCTTTATTTTGGTGTTGAATATAATGAACAAACAATGATTGATGGTTTACGTACGCCAATATCAACTGAATTAAAATTTTCAAATATATCAGCTATTGATTTAATATCAACTCTTCATGTTAAACATCCATTTTTATTAAAAAATAAATGTGGAAACCTGGGACTTAAGTCCGAGAGTTATGTGTACTTCAAAAAGTAAATGAGACAAATCAGTCATCCTAGAATGTGTGGATATACAAATTAGCTTGGCAAACCTTTTCTATAAACACTTGAATTCTATTGACTATTGCTCAACAAATAGGATTTGGGGGCGAATACAGCTCAGATTTGAACTCTTTGCCTTAATTTACCCTCAGAAAATCGTTTTTTCTATAACTTGATTTCTATTGGTCGAATTTAATAAATATTTACCATCAGGTAAACGAATTGACTCAACTTTATGTCCAAAAACTAATGTTTCAAAACAAAAGCCAGCTTCTCTTTGACCATCAAGAACATTTTTTGGTGATGTTTGAGCTAAAATTAANAGTTTTCCAAGTTAAACACGAATCTGAACTCAATTCCTGTGATTTCTAAAGATATTATATCACTCAGTGGTCACCGGATAGGGTCGCATACAGTATGGTCCATGCTAACTTAGCACGTCTGTGTTTTCTCCTTGCAATTTAGTGATAAAAAACACAGTGAATATGCCTTTTCACTTTTTGAAGTACACATAACACTCGGATTTAAATCCGAGGTTTTCGCATTTATTTCAAATTAATGCAGATTCTTTTTAAAAAGGCTGAAAAAATGGATGAACATTTTCTCTGATTATTTTTCGATTACTCTTTAAGAAAAAGAAACTATTATTTGAAATCAAACAATTAAATAATAATCTTATAATAGAATTTCTAAAGACTTTAGATTAGAAATAATTCATTTCATAAAAATTCAAATGCTTCTTAAAATTTACTATTTTTCCTTGGTCAATATTTTTGTCTTATCTATTGTTCATATGAACTGAAATAAATACTAGAAAATAATATGCTCATAATTTAATTTCCAAACTAAATTCCAAAAATAATGTCAAAATCGTAGATCGAAACTTTTATCCGTTATCTTTTTCTTCGCTTCGTCACATTCCGATTCAATTTTTAATAATACTATTTTTTTTCCAATGAATGAATGTAAGTTTAGTGATATAAACTAGAAAATCTACACATAACTATGGTTAATCCGGCTGTGGGGTGTCGGAGATGTGACGTCCCACTATCATAAAAAATTTATTGTTATTTCTCATGGAAGCTTAACTTTTTTTTGCGTTCTCTTAGAGCAAAAATGTTTACACCAGTTCAATGTTGACTGCATCAGGCCAGCTCTGCACATAAGTTGTTTTCAAGTTTTATTAAGGAAAAAATAGCTATTTCTTGAGTTTTCAAAAGGATCTATATAGAGAAGAAAAATATAATGATACCTTCGATTATGTATATTTATCTAATGGAAGAAAAACAAAAATAACATGTTTTATTTCCGTCATTTGAATTCTAATATTTTCAATATATAAATATTTATAGATCGGAAACAATGAACGAACATCTAATGTATTAAAAACTATTCTGGATAAATTTGGTCTTGATCCATCAACCTATGATAATTATTGTATTGAACAACAATTACCTAGTCGAAGTAAAATTTGATTTCTTTTTTTTTATTCTTAATCTTATTATTTATTTATTGATTTATTAGGACTTGTTCTAATGGATAATTGCACTGTATTTTATGCTCTTGTTCGTCAATCAGATGATGAACAGGTTGAATTAACTGTACGAAGAAAAGGTCAACAAGAACGGGAACAAATAAAAAATCGTTCTTATTTCAATACAAGTTATAATCGGACACCAAGTGGATTAAGCATATCTTCGACCCATAGTCGTTGAAGAAAATATTTCGATTTGTACATAACTGGCTTTTTCCTCTTTTTTTTTTATACAGTGAACCCTCTATATAATTTTTTTTAATTCGTTATGTTAAATCTCTCTTGTGTTTTTTTTTTCATATCGATCATATTTTCATTCCACATATTGTAAACAAAAAACACAGAAAGGAACTAATTTTTATGTATCTAATTATCTGCTATTGAGGGTTAATACGCTTCGTTTGTTTTTAATTTTTCTACTGTATGCATATGTGTTATTTAAAAGAAGAAAAAAGAGAGATAACGGATTTGAATAATCTACTTATTTATAGTGAAGATGAAGAAAAGGAAAAGGAAAAGGAAAAGAAATTCAGATTGGTGCAGCATATCAAATAAATATAAGAAAGAAAAGAAGAATGCACGAGAAAATAAAAGGACTATCCTAGTCTATCTATTTGCCACTTGCATAGAAAAAAAATAAGAAAACACTGTTTGACATTCATCTGCCTTTCATTATAATCATTCTTTTGCATTTATGATTTCTAGTGTTCAATAAAGATCAAAAAAAGAAAAGAGCAAGAACAATAACAATAAAAGAAATCATTCCATTTTTATAGGACAGAATACGTAAGTATACTGATCGTATAAGATTTCTTCGAAGAAAAAACTAAAACAAAGTTTCCGGGATTTTCATTATATGATTTGCATTTATTCATAATTACCCGTACGAATTATTTAAAACTACAAATTAGATGATTATTAACAATAATTGATCAGTCTATTTATTTTGTAGTTGAGCCGTTTTTATTTGTCTATATTATCTTTTAATCTCATGCATCTAGATTAATCACACAGGAATAAGATGTAATGAAAAATAGTACAGTTTAGTTAATCAATAGTCTGCAAACATAATATAAAAGATTTTTTCCATATTTTAATAATGATAACTTGTTGTCATCATCATCAAGTACCATCTAGTCGTCATCTTTTTTTTCCTTGAGCAAGGCACGTCTTTATTCAAAAAAAAAACACAAGCTTTTTCGACCAATGAATAAAAAGCTATGGATTAGTTTATTTTTAATTAGATTCTTTTTTTTCTCTCGCTTAGATTATTTGTATCTCATATTATATTAAGCATTTCCAAGAATTAAATTATTTTTGTTTCGTTACACATTGTCAACTCACATTTATTTCTTTAGTTTTCTCTTTTTTTTTATCTTCAGTCAAAAGTGAAAGTAAAGATCTAATAGTACTAATTTTTTAGTTTGATTTTTATTCGATAATGTCTAAATACGGAGAAGAAAATTATCGACATAAAATATCATTAGGAAAAACGAATGATTTAACATCAAATAATAATGATTCAACACATCGATTGTCTATTCATATTCGACAAGGTCATAATAAATTTTGGTCAGAATCAATTTTACCATTATTATTATGTATTGTATGTCCATTTTTTATTCGATCAATTGTTTTTATATGTGATCATTGTCATGGATCAATTATGGAATTTTTTTCACTTATTTTATTTGATCAAACAATGACATTAAAACATGTATTAATTAATTTTTTTTATTTTCAATGGCATTGGCCATCAGCATGTATTATAATATCATTTTTAATATATGCTATTATTATGACAATATTATTACCAGGTGATGAATATGCTGGACCAATAACCGAGACAGGTCATGTACCAATTTATCGTAATAATGGTTTTACTTATTATATTATATCATTAATTTTATTTTCATTGTTAACAATCATATTGAAATTAAATAATTGTTCTCCAACATATATATATGATCATTGGGAAGAATTTCTTTCAACTGTTAATACATTTGCATTTCTTTTATGTACTTTTGTTATACTTAAAGGTAAATATATGCCATCAACAAATGATCATCGATCATCATCAAATTGGTTAACAGATTTTTATCGTGGTGTAGAACTTTATCCAAGAATATTTAATATTGATATTAAACTTATAACAAATTGTCGATATGGAATGTTATCATGGGCACTTTTATGTATTATTTTTTGTATGAAAACATTTGAACTTCATGGTTATACCGATAGTGCATTAGTTACATGTTTATTAATACTTGTTTATTTAACAAAATTTTTTTGGTGGGAATCTGGTAAGTGCATTTTGTTATTTGATAGAAACAAGAGATGTTTAATGAAGGTAATTGTTGTTTGTTTTTTCCTCTAATAAAATAGAATAAAGATTGCTTCGAAAATCACTTGTTGAACATGATTATTCTTTCTTTCCTATTCAGCTGATTATTAGTAATAAAGTCTAGATGAAATCTGAACGAGATTCTTTTAATGTAATCTTATCTGTATATATATATTTTTTTTTCGTCTAATACTGTCAAGATAATAATACTAACAGCTAGCGGAAATGACTCCTGGATGGTTTCAATTATCATAATTAAATGGATCTATTCAAAACAACCAATAATATACTATTTCAACTAGAAAATTTCTATCCCTCCAAGTCGAAGAAGAATGATGATGAGATGAGCATACGTGGTATTAATGAATGCCTACACTTCTCACATGTCTAGTATTTCATATTGCATGCATATGACATACCTTATTTTAATTATAGTGGATATTAATAACGAGGAAAAAAAAACTTTTTTTTTGAAGAAAGTGTTGATGTTGATTTGGTGAAGCGAAGCAATTAGAATGATGAAGGCTATGTAATACTAATTATCAAACTCAAGAATCCTGAATATAAATTATGACATGATAAACTAGAATTTCAACAACCAGCATTTCGCCACCTGAGTTTTAGCAATTTGTCTCATTTCCGCTAGACTTTTGACAATAAAAAGATTGTCAATATTTCAACATGAAATCGAACAATGTGTCGAAATTATACAGCTTCACCTTTCCTCCGATGAAGAGAAATCCTTTAAAAATTTTCTCTACCATCAAAAATACAATACTTAGCTCTTTCAAGAAATATGTGTTAAAAAAGCGAAGAGAGAAGCAAGGTCACTGCGCACTCAAAATAACACTATACAAAAAAAAATAAATTAGTTCCATCAATCATCAAATAACGTTTATAGTGTCATGGTACTTTATCATTACCGAAACGATTTATCACAATTGAACCAAGGCTTAAAAGTGTTCATGTTAGATATTGTTCACTTTCCTCATAGATAGCACTAGCTGCCTCAAATCGTGATGGAACCACTGAGGATGAGAGTTCATAAGATACCGAAGTTTTCTAATTTATTACCTTGTTTTCGATAATTCCGTTACGGCTTATGACAAAACGTTTGCTATTTATATTAAGAAAAAGCAAAATAAAGGTTAACCTAAATAGCTACACAAAAGCAGACGAAATGCTCTAATATTACCCACATTTGGAGGGCATAACAAAGAAAAACAAAATGTAATGTAAGACATGCATGTCGAAGAAGTGATGCATTCCAATGGTCCAAGTAATTAACCAAGACGAAAAAACTTCATTAGTTTATTTACTATATCAAAAAGCTTTTATACAAACAATCGTTCTTATAAAATGACCCCATAGGTGAGCGAACGCACACAGGTACATTTTGTAGTCCTGATTGATTATATTTTTTCTTTGTCTATTTTCGAGGATTGAGAAGAGAACAAAAAAAAAGGGTTGTCAAAATAATTATATCTATTTAGGTTATATGAAAACAATGGATATTATTGTTGATCGTGCTGGCTTTTATTTATGTTGGGGTTGTCTTGTATGGGTATCGGGCATTTATACTCTTCCATCATATTTTCTTGTTACACATCCAAATAAACTCGGTCTTTGTTTAACAATAACTATTCTAACATTGGGTCTTATTTCAATTTTTATTAATTATGATTGTGATCGACAAAAAATCTATGTACGATCAGCTAATGGTCAGTGTAAAATATGGAGAAAACAAGTTAATATAATTCGTGCCAAATATGTTTTATTAAATGGTAAAGAATGTGAAAGTATACTTCTTGCATCTGGTTATTGGGCATTGTCAAGACATTTTCATTATGTACCTGAATTAACATTAGCTTTTCTGTGGTCATGTCCATGTGGTTTTCATTATATTTTACCATATATCTATTTTATATTTCTCTATATATTACTTATACATCGATCTCATCGTGATGATCAAAAATGTCGACTTAAATATGGTATAGCATGGGATAAATATTGTCAACTTGTTCGATGGAAAATATGTCCGGGAATTTATTAGTGTGTAAAAAAAGAGAATGATCTTTTATGCTTTTTAGTTTTTATTGAAGCTTTTTTTTGTTCGTAAACTAGCAGAAACCATAAGAAATCAAAACATATTGATCGTCTAAAAACAAGCAATATACATCGAAATAGAATAAATTAGACATTTGTTAGATGTTGTTTTCTTTGTTGTTGTTGTTGTCGTTTGGTATGAAAATATATTTGCTGTTAAACTTTATCACAATGTGTTTATCACTGTTTATAATGTCTAGTGCGATACAGATCTAACGGACTTAATTCTTCACCACTAATTTTACATCTAAATGGATGAGGCGCAACAGGTAATGATAAGGATAATGGAGCTTGTAAACGTGCTAAATCAGTATGAACAATAAAAAGACGATTTTTTAGACGATTATATAAAGATATATCAAATGAATGACGACTAGCTTCACGATAAAATCGACGTAGAAAAAGACGATCAGACATTGTTATATATTCGAAATCAGCACGTGTCATTAGATGGAATGCATAGATTGCCATTACAGTTCCATATGCAATAAAATAAGAAATAGGTTCTACAATATCCCATGAATAAACATCCCATGTAAGTTCAGCTAAGATACCAACTTGAAAAGACATTGCAGCTAGACCATACCATACACAACGTGCTGTATAACGTTGACATATATGAGCTAATTTATTTTTAACCTAGTCAAACAAAAAAAAAAAAGAAAACGAATCCATAAGTATAAAAATAGTCTTGATTGATTCACTTTTTCTAAGGGTTCAAGTTGTGTTGTTAAAGTATTTGCTTCATTTTTTAATTCAATATATTTTTCATGATAAACTTTCATTACATTTAATGCATAATAAAGTGCTGCTACGGTATCTTCTGTTGATGGTCCATCAGTTTTTGTTAGCCTCATCATAGCATCTTTTACTTGTAATTTATTAATTGGATCAAAAAGAAATGTTTTTTGTTGATTTAATTGTATTGTAAATGATGATTGCATAAGAGACTTAATTGTATATGACTTCGATAATAGATGTCCTTTTTCATCACATATATGTATATGTTCAATACCTGCATCTTCTTGTTGTATTTCATTGATAAGTTGACCAACTGTAGCTGTTTGTAAATTCAGATGAAATCGACATGTTTCTTGACGTGATGGTAATATCAATGATATAACAAGTGCGCTATTAGAATAAGATAATGTTGGTTCTAACAATATATACATAAATAAAATTAATATTATTTTCTTTTTCTCCCGTTTACCTGATATAATTGATGGTTTACTTGTAATAGAAATTGTTCGAGAAATTTTTGAAATAGTAGCAGTATTAATAATCGAACGCGCAAGTGACGTAAAACGCATATTGCAAGAAAATATTCTATTATATGATTAAAATTTAACTCTTGTATTTAGTGTATTTAGCTTTGAAATTATATATTTTTAAATGTAACTGTTTTAGAAGCAAGTTTTAACCAAATTTTTCTTTTTTTTTTCTTTTGCTCTTTTCTTACTTGCATTTCTCGTCTTAGACGGGGAATATTATCATAGCAACAATAATTATGAGGTAGAAACGCGCATACGACACCAAACCTTCAGAACGATAAAGAAAAAGAAACATGCTTTGTATTTTTTCTTGCGTTTTTCGCATGTCTTTCTTATTCTTTCTTCTCCAGTTATATGTCATCGTGTCTGATATGATTCTATCATTGATGTGGTGATAATGACAGATATTTTTTGTTTATGCAAAACTTGTACGCGATATGTCGCCTTCGGAAATTTATAGGATATGTTTCTGACTTTCTGTAAATGGTCGTGCAATGAATAGATGCTAAAGCGAAAAAAAAACGTTTAGAAAAGATGTAAAAAATTGTTAAGACTTCGTTATGATATATTCATGTAGCTGCCAAGTATCGTACTAAGACTGGTAAACTATTTGGCACATGTATGAAAGCTAACAGATAGTACGATTATTTATACAGATTTTTATCACTCATCGTAAATAAATAAACCTTGGAAAACAACAAAAAAAAAGCATTAATCACTTGTTTTTACCTGTTATGTGAATAAAAATGTTTTTTTTTTGTTACAATCAAAAAATAAATTTCTCTCTGTAAAGATTACTAATGACATATGATGTATTAATAGACGGTACAAGTATACTCAATAGATTTAATTATACAATTTTCAATTGAGAATATACACGAGATAATTGTAAAAGGAATGTAGTAGCGATAAAAATGTTTCGTTTTCTATATGACATACTTATTCTAGGGGTGGTACTTTAGTTTTGCTTTAAAATAAAACTTTACACTTTAAACTGTAATTATTTTATTAAATTATTTTTAATGTTAAAGTTCCATCTCTTATATCTACCGCATTAGTAGAGAAAAAAAGCTATTAGCGCAATTCTCGCATGACTAAAATGCGAAACACGATGCAGCTGTTGCTGATAATTACAGGAAGTTTGTTTTATTTTATCTATTTTGGGACACATTTCTTCACCATAATTTTAGTTAATGCTCCAGAAATTCAATAAGGAAATAGTTCATATATTATAACGAGATGTTATTAATATATTGTCTTTGATCTTGACTACAATAGTGTGTGAGAAAAAGCGCAAATTTCTACCCTATATACTTCAATACTTCTTTTAGATCGTGTTTTACCAAAGAAAAATAATTATGTATCAATTTATATTAATGAGCCATTAAAAAATTGATAAGTCAATGAGGACATATTATTAGAATTCTGCAAAATGATTGTTTTGCTTAGTGGAATTCTCGATTTTATTTTCTTCGTCAAATTAACTTTATAATTGTCTGATAGAACTTAAGTACAAATTGTAATAACGTGAAGTATTTGTGTCACTTGTTCATTTTTACCAGTATTGATTTAACCTATTACTCTAGTTGTCTCTTATTACGCTTTTTTTGCTGTTCATTCTTTTGTCTCGATAAAAGTGATCTTCAAAAATTCTTATTAATCGAAATCGATTGTTCATTAAGTTAAGAATTTAAAACATATTCCACGATTAAGGTCATTATTAACCTATATGAACACCCAGGAAAGAAAATATAGATTTTATCGTATCAGCATGTAGGACTTCCTGAGTTACGTTCATCAACATCCTGATTATTCAATTTATTTAGTATCTATGAACACTGTAAAAGTATCTGTAAAAATTGACGAACATTCATTTTCTTTCTTTTTTCAGAAAGAAATGAAATATTTCAACGAGAAACAGGTCTAAATCGACTTTTCACAGTATATGGGCCATCTACGAACATCGATGGTTTGATCATTTGTTTATACAGGAATGCTTCGAGCGAACGCTATTTTTATATGCTTCTATATAAGTACTTAAACAGGTGGATTTTTAAAATTATTTGTGCTCAAGAGAAAATAGTGTTTGCTCGAAGAAATAATAAAATCACCGATGACTGTTGATTTCATATATTTTTGAGAATGCTTTTGTGGCATTCATGAACGTCGTTATATACTAAAAATAATTAAATGATCGATATTTCCTTGAAGATTTATCGGAAGGCAATATTCATGAACATAACTTAGTGATTTCTACACATTTGTAAGATCAAATTGGTATTGGCTTCTCTTCTACGACGTCTGTGAATGTTCGTATGGTTTACTAATATCTCACGAGTAATGTCATAAAAGAATGACAAAAATAATTATATAAATATAAAAATAATTAACATGAGAATTTCTTATTTGACGAAACCAGACTTTTACATAATAAAGAAACCATTATGTATTCTCATTAAATCGGTAATTTGATCCCTATCTATAGATTTAAGAACCGGTACATGATAGATAAAAAATAAATATCTATAATTAAATATAAATACGATCTTTTGATGATAACGGTACGATCGAAGCATTTAAAAAACACAAGACTAATATATTTTTTTGTGAAAGATATATAGTTATCCTTAGCGAATTCTTATCGAGAGGAAAATTCTCAAATTATAATGAAATTCGACATGGCAAAGAAAATCTTTCAACTAATCATAGACAAATTAATAGATCGCATTACTGCAAGAAAAAAGAAAGTGTTTATGACGCTCATGTTGAATTCGCTAATTTTTTTCGAGACGAATTCACCTAATTATTGTTTGATATTAATTCAATACTTGCAATCGATCATTAGTGAAAAGTAGGAAAACAAAAACAACAAACTTTTAAAAATAATTGAACTTTTACAACACTTCTATTTTCGATACTCTCGTTATTGACATTATGCATTTGAAAACCAATCATATCGCAATCATGAAGATCAAATGACACGAAAAATTTAGAGATCGAACCAGTATGAATTTTTAACAATAGGTGTCGGTATCACGATTTCATTTTTCAGTTAAAAGTAATTAAAAAAACAAATAAAATGAATCATAATGTTTTATCATGAAGTAAAGTTAAACAACTAACAAAACTACCAATGATTCTTATAACATTTGCTGTATAGTAAATGTTTTATAGCTGAATGTCGTATCTTATCAAAGATTGCTCAAGAATATAAAAAAGAGAAATGGCATGTATAGACATATACATAGTAGAAAGTCTCGTATTTGAAATTTCGATTCATCCAATCATTCAATGTCCCGACGTTCCCATCATCCCATCATTCAAATAAAAATTTAAATCTATAGATAGTAGAAACTCTTACATTTAAAATTTACATTTAATGATTCATTCGATATCGCAATATCCAATTTATTGAAAAAAATGAAACAACCATAAGGATAAACATCAAAATAAAGCAAACTATTTTATCAGCACATACTCATCAATAATAACAATAGAATCGCAAAAATATTTACAGCAAAACCTAATAATTATAATACAACTCAATAAATAGACTTATTTCATAAGTACATATCAACATAACAACCTTTCATACATATTTACAAGTTACAATTATAAACAACAACAATGATGAACATGCAACTAAAGACAAACCGAAAAGCCTTAACGTATTGGTAGATATTCTCTATACTGGGAAACTTACAACAATATTTCGAAAGAAATTAATCTCGTTAGTGAAACAAGTCTGTCCACAGGTACATCTACAGCCAATAGCACGTCCACAACCATCAGCTGGTACCTATTTTATTAGCAAAGACCCGGTTCCTAAGAATCTCTAATCTGGAGTAGTCTACCAAGTTAACTGTGCAGATTGTAATGCATTTTATATCGGCAAAACTATACGTCAAGTAACGAGAAGACTTAAAGGACATGGAGCTCTCCAAGCAGAAGAGAACTTAGTAGTATCATCAGCTTTAGCTACTTCAATTACAGATGACCAAACAATTCGACGCTCAGCTAGATATATTGGGAAAACTGTTAACTATGCTGAACAAAGAAATATTGAAATAAATAGTAAGGGGAGTATAAGCACAGTAACATCGGNGCACGAAAATAAATTTAATCAGAGAATCGAGGAAATTAAAAACAACGGATCCCTACATGTATTATAGAATATTTAATTAAGACTCTTTTTTATAAAGTTATATGCTTGGGAATAAATAGAATGATATGTATCGATTGAATAAGGAACAATAGGAATTACTGAATAGTTATGAGTGTTGCTCTTTGTCTTGTAGTAACAAAGAAACAAAGAAGTTCGATGCTACTGGTTAGTGCTATCACCAACAGGATAGAAGAAATAGATAACTTCGTGAAAAGCTTTCGTTTTATTCAAGTTAAAACGCATTACTTGCCCTCTCATGATCTTTCAACCTGTTAAGACGCGTCAACAAAAAGTTAAATGCGTTGAAACGCGGTTATTTCTTTCATGGCTTCAGTCAGCGTGTTATAAAGCGTTGTTTTCTTCTATTCTAACCTTCAACACGTCAAAACGGCATTTTGGCGTTTATCTGTCTGCGTGGACAGCCTTGAGAATGATTCTACAGATGCTTTGAGTGTGATTGAAGTGTACACTTATTAAGTTTCATTGTCAGTTACAAATTGTGCACAAGAAAACGAACCACAACTACATTGATGACAGCAGCAGCTCTCGCATCATTTAAAACGGAAAACAACAATCTAGAGACGTTCTCTCTGCTTTGGCTTGATGCCTCGACTAACGCTACTGCTGAAAATATCGAAGCTCAACAACGACTTCGTGCCTCGATCAATCATTTGACGATATTTCAAGATGATCAACTATGTGAGAATTACATTCGATCTCTATCTCATCATGATCAAATTGTCCTTATCGTCAGTGGTCAGTTTGGTCGAGAAATTGTGACTCGTATTCATTCACTACGACAACTATCCTCCGTGTATGTCTACTGCATGGACAAAGATGGTAACGAGCAATGGTTCACGAATTTAAGAAAGGT